GTTCGTCAGGAAAAGACTTAAAGATTATGATTTTTCTTTTTTTCTTTTTTTGAGTCGAGGTCACTGTCACCCAGGCTGGAGGGTAGTGGCACGATCATGACCCACTGCAGCCTCAACCTCCTGGGCTCAAGTGATCCTTCCGCCTCAGCCTTCCGAGTAGCTGGGGCTACAGGCATGCACCACCACGCCTGGCTAATTTTCCTTTTTTTTTTTCTTTATAGAGATGAGTTCTCACTGTGTTGTCTAGGTTGGACTCGAACTTCTGGGTTCACTTTTCACCTTGGTCTCCCAAAGTGCTAAAATTACAGGCATGAGTCACTGCACCCGACCAAAACTTGGGGATCAGAGGAGTTTGACTTTTCTACCCTCATGTCCCAACTTCCCGCCTTCCCCTCCGCACTGCAGGCTGTGTTTATCAGTGCCATGAGACCACAGATGGTGCTGGGTGGAGCCGTGGATCAGGATTCAAATCCTAACAGGCCAGGAGCTCTGGGCCTGACTCTGCTGTGTTGCCTCAGACAAATCCCTTTCCCCCCCAAACCTTGGTTTTCCTGCCTGCAACGCAGAAAGATACTGCTTCCCTGGCCCGGGGTGTCAGATTCAAAGACACGGCACACACCAGGGAGCTTCAAGCCCTGCATTGTTTCCCTCCTTAGTCCATCAGCCTAAGTCCCTCTTCTGGGAAAATGCCATGACAGGCACTGCCCAGCTCTTGACACCCAGTCAGTGCTGAATGACTGCCCACCTGGTGGTCCGATGGTCAAGGGCAGGAAGACAGGTCAGGGTGGGAGTCTTGCCCCACTGCCCTCTGCCCTGAGGTCCTGAGCCGGCCTCTAAGTCTCAGATTCTCTTCTTCAAAATGAGACAGTAGTGAGATTCCGCTCTTTGCCATGGTCAAGACTGAAGGTATAATCCACCAGGGAGGCTGAGCAGACTCTGGCTGCAAGATACGTCTTCTGGCGTTCTGTCACAGGGGCTTGGGTGTGTACCTTTAGTTCTAGTTGATGTCCTCATAAATATTGTGGAAAAAAAAATAGATCATCTTTTGATAGGCAGACCATGGCCCTCAGAAGCCCGCTCAAAACAAAGAGGGGAACCCTACGCCCTCAGTCCTTTCCCTGCTCATGGGGGTCCCCTCCATTCAGAGTCTGGCTTCCCCAGGGGGTTTCCTGAGGTGAAGAATTAGAAGGGGGAAGGAAGGGGGGGGTAGGGAGCCCTGGCAGGGGAGGGGAGGAGGCAGGGGGAGGAAGACATGTCCCTGGGAGATAAGGTTGTGAACTGCCTGGCTACAGTGGGGAGGCCAGCAGCCCCCGGCCATAGCCTGTGTTCAGAGAGCTGAGAATCTGACAGCGGGAAGGAAGCCCAGAGGCCTTCATAGTCCCCTCCCTAATTTTAGAGCTCAAAGAGTTGAGGTCCTTGAGCATGTCCCTGGCTCCCTGGAGACTGCTGTAGCTCCCCAGTTCAGGGCCCATCCTGTCTTTTGGGATGCAACTGCATGCATGCTGAACACTTTACACACTCATTTTTCGTTTGTTGCTTTTTGTTTTTTGTGAGACGAGGTCTTGCCAAGTTGCCCAGGCTGGTCTTGAACCCCTGGGCTCAGGCAATCCTCTTGCCTTGGCCTCCCAAAGTG